AGATAACATAGAGCGAAGTAAGACCTTTTCTACTTCAAGTATCTTTAACACGCCCCCTTTATACTCGTTGCCTTTCTTACTAACAGTTATAACACAAAAACCTCATTTACTGATTTAAATGATGAATCTTAACAGTTTCCGCTGAAACCAAAAAGGTGTTAGAATAGTAAGAACTAAAGTTTCACATATTTGCGTTTATTTCAAACAAAAGGCAAGGTTTGTGGGGACTCTACGTGTACCATCCATGGAGTACTTTTGTTAAAACCGTGCATCTGAACTCGATAGGAGAGAGGAATTACTATTCCCATTGTTGAAGCCTTGACGCCGGACATAGTCAATAGTGTAGTAGGATGCCGAAAAGTACAAAGTGATTGATAAATTCATTTCGAATTAAAGCTTAGTACAATAAACTCTTAATATTCTGATGAACGCTACAACAATGAGAGATACCGGGCAACAAATTCTCGCTGAAGGGACAGATGCAAGCGAAGCATTACAATAGATGCAACTGGTTCTAATAAATTCCTACGTGTACATACACGCGTACACCAGCCCTCCTTCGATCGAGATACAATCCATGCGAGAGGAGGTTAATGTTGATGGGCAAGGAACCGGCGCCACAGTAGTGGTGAGAGTAGAGAAGCATCAAGATAAAAGGGGGGGGGGGAGAGGAGAGAGAGAGGAAGAGCGCGTTTACTGGTAATTGCGTGTATTTGTGGGCGTGAAAAATGGAATAAAGAAGTGCAAGAGGGATTGATTGGCGAGCAGAGATAACGCCACGCCAATAACTATTATCTGTTGCTCCTCCTCCTTCTTCCACCACCACCACCACCACCACCACCTCCTCCTCCTCCCCTTCTTCATTTTCTTACACGTGAGCGTCTGGATGGAGAGAGAGAGAGAAATGGTCGGGCAGATCATTAGAATGGTTTCCACAAACCAGGAAAGGAGGATCGAATTTCAAACACAGTGCTGTTCAGTTGTTACTCCAACTAGAATGTAAATTAGTCTTAAAAACACCGCGGAGAGGGTAATTATTGGCTAGATCATATCTTAATATGTATTGTGTCAATTAGGACCCTTTAGATAAACAAATGAGATACGCTTGACAAGAGAGGGAAGTCAATCATACGCAGGTCACTGTTTCACAAAGGGCAACTTAGTGTGACCGGACACATTGAGAGTTTGCACACCACTCCACTAATGGAGAAAACGAGTTGGCTCTTCCTGAATTGCGAACATTGTGGCTCCCCAACCAAGCCTTTGGGTATTATGAATTGGAAAGACTGAATGGCTATAGACTAAGGTGAAAGAGCATGATACAGTACGATGTTATCCACACCTCGGTCATCTTCTTAAAGTCTTTTTTATAAATAACAAATAAATACTCCCGTAATCATTGACCTTGAAACTGATGGTAACAATTACCAATCCTGATTATTGATATTACAACAAATGGAAATGCAAAATTCCATTTGTCCGACAGCAAAATAGTTTATTCATGGATAGGACGAGGACCAAATAGGAGTTGTTTGATTTCCCATAAGAGGCAAAATTCATTTAAAAGGAATTACACATTTTCAAGTTCAGCGAGTCTACGCGAGTGGTGCCCAGAGCTTGTTGACCGGGTCAAAAACGTTGCGGAGCCCACTAGAATTCACTCAAGGTGACTAATACAAATCGAATGGTGACACAACCGATCCAACATGAGTAGCATATGCCCATGAATATGCCAATATATCTTTTCATAAAAGTTTTAAACGGCTATCATCAACCACTCGAAAAAAAGTTACAAGAAAACATCACAGTGCGGGATCCGGAAATCCATCCATTTGAAGAGCGGGTGGGAGCTCTTAATTGGGCCGTGATCCAGGGGATGCTCGATGAATTTCTAATGAACACAAGCCACTTTCATTCTATTTTATTTATGGAAGATGGGGTGTGCGATAGACTTACCTCCACGTGGTGCACTCTGGGCAACTTATACTCATACTGCAAAAAGTCTATAAACCGACAGTTGACTTCTGACTTCAAACTACCATGGCCCGACTATTTGTCATATTTGACACTTCCACAGTACCCACCTCACCTTTTTTCTACCTTCGTCTTTGAAACACTCTTCTGTTCCCCCCCCCCCTCGACTTTCTCTCGCTTTGATGTTCCTCCTCCTCTCTGTGAAGCCTGAAATCAACTAAAGGGCTAATGATAACCATCAAAAGGCCTGCCATTTGATATAAATAAATAAATTTATGGAAGATAATTACGCAACGTTATATCAATATGGTTACCAGAATGACCTAAAGAAGTGGTCCATTTTATAGAGTAAATTAAAATGAAACCTCGACCTTGAGGATACGTACAAAAAAGACTACTTACTACTTTTTCGGTGAGTTGGGCAATGGTCGCATTGAGGGACTCGATCTGCTGCCTCAGTTGATCGCAATGTTTCGATTTGATCTCAAAGTCACTTAGGCACTTCTTCAATTCGCTGTCTAAGGTCTGTGGAAATTGGGCAAAAAAGGAGCATAAACAAGACAATTTTAACAAATATATATTCAAATTCTTTTGTGCTGGACGGCCAAAAGATTACCCGTGTTATTGTAATAAGACAGAGCAAGGAAGCTCAATTGTTCATAATGGAATACCATTTTAGGGAATCTACCTTTCCGGTCAAAATGTTCCGCACAGTTCTGCCAAATCTACCATTTACGACAAGAAATCACCCCCCCTCCCCGAAAGACGGTGTTCATTACGACTTCAAGTACCACAGCTTCAGTTCGCCTTAAACGAAGACTGAATGAAAAATAACATCTAGTAGAGTATAACTAATTTCTCAACACTATAACCTAGCTAATCTAGGATAGACAAATTGAAGCTGAAGATAACGTGAGAAGTGCAGACAGTGCTGATTTTTATCACTAATAGGATGCAAAATGTTATCGCAGTAGTTGGTTATTATTTTATACATTCATTCGTGTTTCTGATAAACAAAAAGGTGAGTTGGTAGGCCTTCAATAACAGGTGTTTCGATATCAATCACTTAACCTCTTTTCTTCACCTCAAGTCTGGCGATCGCTCGGCTTCGTCTACTTATACAAGCAGATTATTATTATTGGCTAATTCACTTCTCCGCCATAACTTTAAACAACTGAGAACTCACCTCTAAACTTAAGTCTTTCTGGTTGATTGCATTTTGGGCATCTGCGAGAGAATGTTTGAAGTTTTCGATCTGCTGCTTTTTCGCCTCAACTTCCGATGAAAGCGCTCCAATCTTCAAGAAAAAAACCACCAATGGATTATTGACTTCTCAAACAAGGCCATATTATGGCAACTTTCTATTGATTGGTTATAAGAATATCACTAACTTGACCATCATTAGATCAACGAGAATGCCAAATTTCTAGTTTAATAGCGATATTAAGTAAATTTTACAGCAATTATTCATTAACCAGTTTATTTCCCACAATTTCAAGTAACCCTTGCTATGAAAAGATTATAAAAAAAGGTTTTCTGACGTGGGCGATTAGCAAGTAAATTAATCAACCAATGGGAAGTTAAGAATACACTTGATGAAGAATACTTATCATGACGCATAAGCCCCGAGGAGTCGCAGTCTGTCAGGAATCAATAAAACGCAAGCGTTTCAGAAATACAGACCTCCTGTTTCATTCTCCTCTAGCATCACCAGAACCTTCACGACTTATGCCAACGAATAGAAATGTAGCTCTTTAAAATAAGGAGATTTGTACTTTCTTCTGCCACTCTACAAACAATCGTAAACTGGGCCTATAAAATACAGGATAAGAAAGGTCCTGGCGAACTCGAACAGTCACTCAAAAGAGCTAGCATCTGCAATTGTCAGTTAGTTGAACTGAATTGAATACTCCCAAGTGCTCGAGGTGCTAATGTGGAAATTAAGTCAGGTAGGAACTATAAGCTTCGGAGTCGAAATCTCCTCAATTCACAATCCAATTACCTTTTCCCTGTAAATGCCATTGAGAGGACTTAACTGTTGAAACCATCTTTCATATCAAATTTCACTCTCGAATATAGCCTGAAATCCCTCACTGCTATAAAGCCAAGTGTTTTGATTTTAATCTACTAACTTATAAAATAATGTAGATGAGAGGTGGTAAGGAAAATAAACACGTTTTAACATACCCGACTTAAAAGATTGGAATTTTCAATCTTTAGCTTATCCGCAGTAGTGTTTGAGTTTTCCAAATTCGATTTTAAGGAATCCACTTCACTTCTGAGAGTCTCCTCGGTACTATTCATATACTGTATCTACGAGAAACAGAAACTAAGAATAGATTACCGAAGATGCATAAGCTTTCGATAAAGATTAATAATTCTGTAGCAGCATCTTGAAAGGAAGTGATTCATGGTATCCATCTTAGACTCTGCTGATTTCCTATTGAAAAATTCGAGATCTGCCGACCCAACAATAGAATATTAAAGTGCATGAGAACATCCCCTGATTGCTTTTAAATTTAGCTTTTAAGTGATTTCAAATATCGTCATGGGCGTCCAGAAGCCTCTAGTGAGAATCTCGAAAACTGAAACCCCAAAACATAATCCGTGAAGTCCACCATCTCCCTCATTGGGTGTGTATATCAGTCGATATCGAACCAGTGACCTTTATTAACAGCTAACCTACAAGCGCACAGTCGCTTATAAGCTTAAAAATGATTCATTTTAGGAACATTTCAAGTAAATTGGCAGGAATAAGATAATGATAGAGACAAAATTTGAAAGTACCTTCTTTCTGAGATCAGTATTTTCAGCTTCGAGTTTTTTGATAACGGCATTGGACTTTTCAATGTCCGCTTTCAAAGACTGAATTTCGTTTCGAGAGGACTCGTCTTGCGATTTTAGCTTTTCCATCTATAGAAAGAAAAGGAATGCTCAATTTGGATTTGAGATCGAAACACTTCAATTGAGATGCGATTATGCATACTCCCGTTTAGACTACAATTAATTTGATCGCATCAGAATTTCTAGGAAGAACTGAAAATGAACCGCTCATTTAAGACTAGAAGGTGGGGTGCACCCTGGGCAACGTATATTCATACGGCAAAAAGTCTATTAACCGGCAGTTGACTTCTCACTTCAAACTACCACCATCTCACTATATGTCATATTCGACTACTTCCATAGTACCCACCTCACCTTTTCTCTGTCTTTGTGCCTGTCTATCTCTTTTGCATCCTTGAATCACTTTCCTGTTCCCCCTCTTGAGTTTTTCTCAATTTGGTGTTCCTCCCCTCTGTGAAGCCCGAAGCCAGCTAAAGGGCTAATGATAACTATCATAAAGCCTGCCATTTGAAATAAATAAGTGAGATTAAAAGGTATTTGGCAATAAAGAATTAAGGATTTTGATGAATATATAAAAAGAGAGATCATAACGATTGAAAAGTGAAAAGGGGAGCACNACTCATATTTCAACACTTTCACAGTGCTCACCCTACCTTTTCTCCACCTTTGTGCCTGTCTATCTCTTTTGCATCCTTGAATCACTTTCCTGTTCCCCCTCTTGAGTTTTTCTCAATTTGGTGTTCCTCCCCTCTGTGAAGCCCGAAGCCAGCTAAAGGGCTAATGATAACTATCATAAAGCCTGCCATTTGAAATAAATAAGTGAGATTAAAAGGTATTTGGCAATAAAGAATTAAGGATTTTGATGAATATATAAAAAGAGAGATCATAACGATTGAAAAGTGAAAAGGGGAGCACTTATAGCAAAAGGATAATGAGCTCGTTCACTTAAAGGACTGGATCGAGGAGACAGATTGGACAAAGGGATGTTTAGTTTTCGAAAGTTCTAGTTAATCGAATAGCGACCTCTGAGGAACGTTATAATTAATGTTTCAGCATTTTGACAACGTTCGCTTCCGAAAGTTGCATTTATGGAAATGTTTTCACTTCATTGATCAGCCTTGAATTTGGAATAGGCATATAAAAATACACATCCGGTGATGAAATTAACGAAGTTCTTCCTTTCGGACTCGTTTTATTCGACAAGAAGATTTTAATCGTGATACATTGGAGGAGCAGAGCTCATAACGTAGGGGTTAAATAAGAGAGGAAATAGGATAAACTATGTGAAGACAGTAAGAATCGATAATCGATTCGTGATAGACTAAAACTGGTTAGCTTTCCATCTCCCCAACTCCGATGAACCTAAGCTGTCCATAACTCATCAGTTTTTTAGGTAACAATTTAACAATCCCGATTTACTGTCGAGAGTTGTTGATCCTCAAGTTGGTCTTTGAGGAAGCTGATTTCCTTTTCAAGGTCCAGTACCAAGTGCTCCAGAGATTCCTGATTTTTGGACTGAAGGAAGAGAAGAAAAAGCACCACAACATGAGAGTTGAATTGTTTACTACGAGTATTTGTAAACATTGCGCGATTAGTTACCTTTTCCTCGAGATCAATTTTTTCCAATTTGAGATTGGCTAATTGTACTTTGAGAGAGTTGATTTCGGTCAGATCTGAATTATCACCACTTTCGGTCTCACCAGAATGAATCTGTAGAAGAGAGTGCATAGAAGAGGTAAGACATTCAGTTTATGTAATGTGAAATGTATACTCCATTACCCGAGACCAATGTGTTACCCATTGCACACAAAGATAACTAGGAGAGGAACCGCATAAGAGTCGATAACTCCACAAGAAATCAGCTGATCATCAAATGCTAGGCGACAAAATTTGAGGGAATCATCTGATTTTTTCAAAGAAGAAAAGAAAAAAACAGCAAAAAGTAATATGAACAGGATGTGCAAGTGGTATTTCTTGTGAGAAACTATAAGAGACCAGGCATCTCGTCCCATGGTATCACATAGACTCAAATAGCGTTTCCTTGTTCCAGAAAATACGCGCAACAACTAATTCCGAGTAAGCTAAAGCGAAAAATGCCTATAGAAGAAATAAAAGTATGTAGAGGTTAAGGAACCGATATCCCGAAATCAATACTGATAATAGTAAAATCGATTTGTGAATGACAAAACCATGTCTTTTCTCAGTTGGCTTAAAATTGAGAAAGAGCAATGGCAGATTTCCAACTTGTTACAAATAAAGCTTAACCACTCAATAAAAAATGAAGAAACGATATGGATGCGGTTTGGGGCTAAAGGTAATAGAATAAGCAAGCTCTTTAAGTGACATTCTGGTGAAAACTCGAATCAACTGAAATCAATAATAATAAGACCTTGAAGCCGAGAATACGAGGACGCTGAGATGGGAGTTGAATCAGACATTTCCATGAATTACCCAGCCTTTATAACACAATTCTGGTTCGGCCGAAGATTTGCATAACTTCTTTTTTTTGAATTTAAATATGTGCAAGCATTCGCCAAGTAGAATTAGGCAACAGGAGTAATTTTTGGGACACCTTATTTTCCGTAGGTGAAAACTATACAATTCACAGACAAGAACCAAAACATTATAAAAAGTTTAAATTGCAATCTGACAAAGGGGTACAAATCTCCTGTTTATCTTCCTAATCATCTACTTGCCATGGGATTCTGCAATATTTAGATGACTCATCTGAATGAACTCTACGAAAGCTCTAATGAGATACTAGTCAGAACTAGAGACAAATATTTGAATTTTATTAGGATTAGAAAACCTTCCTTAGCAGTAGAATTTTGCATAACATCTGTAGCTTCTACCTCATTTTCACGCATGGTAGGTATAAGTTTACCAACAGCTTTTCCATCGCAGAATCGCGATCTGTAATTGCTGCATGACACTTAATAAGTTGACAAGAAATCCAATAGCGAAACGAGCATTCTCAATGCTGTTTCCGACATCACGTCTCTTCTGAAAAGAACTTTAGAAAATAAACTGCATTCTAATGAAACTTCAGAATCAGAATTTGTCTTGATCTCACCAATTGAACCGAAAGATTACCACCCCCCGGGAGACATTAATAAACAAATGCTGAACTTATCATCTTGAATACTGGAAAATTGATTAGATTGAACTTACCGGCTAACTTCATTCATATTGACATTCTTGAATATTTTCATAACTAGAATAATACAGAAATACACAGGATAATAGGAGATTCTAAAAGGGGAAAAATAAATGGCAGAAGTTCCTACATTCTTTCATTAGAACACGAGGCGAAGAAGAAGTATACCTGAGAGGAGTTGGAACACATTGAACTTGATCGCAAATAGAGGCAGATCTGTCATGCTATGGCCCTCTCATAATGACACTCTATCCAAAATGGAATTATAACAAGCCAACTTTACGATGGATTTTGTTTAAGCTGAACAAATTTTATCAAGACTTATTCATTTACGCCGCCTACTTAGGGATTCCAGTACAGTCTTCTAAGTGCATTGGAGGATTTACCGACATGCAGGCACTACACATTAAGGGTGGAAATTTCATGTTGCATGCTCTAGGAGCCATATAAGTAGCAGAAGCAGCAGAGACAGTAGTAGTATTTTTTATTGGTATTTCGTGACACGGCACTGCTAATTATCACCAGAATTCTGGGCGCGAGATAATAGACAGGTGAAGAGAGGAAGAAAAAAACGTATGGGGTGGGAGAAATAAGGAAGAAAGAATGGGAAGAGGGGGGG